GCCAACTCAATCAATTCTGCCTAACTATTGAGAGCAAAAGTTTTTTTATCTCGGACTTACTTTTCACAGTGTACTCTGGCCTACAACCCTCACACATTTACCCACAACCTTCCCAAGTATACTAAATGTGTGCTGAAAAATATACTAAATGTGTGCTGAAAAACATTTTATTAAAAAGTTGAGCTTAAGGGACGCCTGGGTGGCTCAGTCAGTTAAGCATCCGATTGGACTGCTGCTCAGGTCATGAGCTCGAGGTTCGTGGTATCAAGCCCTGTCAGGCTCAGTGCAGAGCCTGCCTGGGATTCTTTCTCTCTCTCTCTGTCCCTTTCCCCCAACTCTCAAAATAAATAAATAAACTTAAAAAAATAAATGTTAAAAAATTTGAGCTTAACATAACTACAAAAGAAAAACTGGACTTGGGATTATCCACTTCAAAAAGGTCCACAAAATTCTGCAGACCAGGAGAAAATCAAGACTGGATATATAAGGTCTGACCATACACAACTGCCAATATTTGACTGCTTTTACCTAAAAACTGCAATTTCATACAGTTCCACTTAATATTTAATTTCTACTCGGTGGGGGAAGGAAGAACTTCTATGAGGCCAAAACGATGTTATATTGGGAATATACCTTCTAGAATTAAAAGCTTCAAAATATTCTGCTGAGATTCAATCTGGTTTCAATAAAAAAAGGGAAGTGTTAAAAGCATATATACGAATGGGTATATCAGACTTTCTTCTTTAGATGCCAAAGAATTCCTGGTTCTCAGCAGTGTTTATTAAGTGAACAGAGAGGCTGCTTTTTCTCAACAGCCAGTGTCCCATCTCCAGTGAGGGTGTCAAGACCTTGATGACAACAGCAGAATTTGATAGCTAGTGAAATGAGGCTGGCCACAGGAGCACAGTGCCTCACAGATGCCATCAGGATCAATTCCCAGGAGTTTCCTCATTGGATGATATCACCGATCAATTCCCATTTCATTTCTCAGGGAATGTTTGCTCTCATCTCCTGCAGGAAGTTAGTCTTGACTACTCTCACCCAATTATGTGCATTTTATGTAATTTTCAGTGCTGAATCTTTCTTTTATAAGCTCGATTTTTCATGGGGGCCCACTCTCACGCTCCTAATTAAACTAACGATTCACCTATGCAAAGGATTGTCTTTATTTTTTTATTCATTAACCATTTAGTCACTAACAGTTACTAAATGCCTACCATGTATGAGTTACTGTGGCAAGCCCCAGGAAAAATACAAAGATAAAAGACACTTCTCTGCTGTCAAGGAGCTCACAGTGTAGTAGAAATGGCATGCCAAGGGCACAAATAAGCAAAAATACAAAAATATACAACTACTACCAGACAAGTATGGATAAAATGACAGGAGAATTCAGAAGTGGGGACTCTCCTGTTGGAGAAAAAAAATCAGGAAAGTTTTCATGGAAGACATGCTTTAAACTGGGACTTTAATGGGTAGGATATTTTTTCACAGGACAAGTGAAAAAGGCAATGGAGGAAAGAGGCTTAAAGATTAGGTGAGTAAATGGATTAGATCTACGTGTAGACGGATGAAAAACAATGTTGAGAGAAAAAGTTGCAAAGGGATACATACAGTTCAATTCTATTTATGCAAGATTTCAAAACAAAGCTATATATTGTTTATGTATATATAATACATTAAAAATATAAAGTATAAAACATGAAATTGAATGATACATAGCAAATAAGGCCAGTAAGCATTTCCCAAGAAAGAAAAAAGGGGAAAGGATGCAGAGGAGGCCTTTGCTACATCTAACATTATATCTTAAAAAGAGTAAGAGATCCAAGACAAATATGACAAAATGTTAATATCCATTAAATTTCGGTTATGGGCTCAAAAATGTGTTAGTTTTTTTCCCCTGGACTTTTCTAAATATTCAAAATATCTCATTACTCAAAATTTTTAAATTAAGAAAGGGCCAGGTGACTGGAAGAATACTGGAGTCATTAACCCAAACGTAACAGTCAGGAGCAAGATGGTTTCCCTAAACTTTCAGGGAACACTCAATCAATCAGTTCAGCTCTAAACTGAACGGGATGCTTAATATCTGGCAGTGTGCACAAAAGGCACTCAGACCAGGGCGGGGCGAAGGCTGACAGATAAGGACAATAAGGAAGTTTTTATGGCCATCCTAAATCAGACATCTGAGGGAAGTGACAACCACGCTCCCACACAACATAAATGCCGGTGTTACCAAGTCATCTCCCCAAAACAAAGCCAAGGAAACTTCCAGTTATATAGGAATTCAGATGAAGACTCACTGTGAGTAGTTACTCTGTGCCTTCTCTCCCTCCCCCTCCCCCAAACACTCACAAACAAAAACAGAATGTACCCTTGCCCACTTGAGAAAGAATTAAGAATTGGCAGCTCTGCCAAAGTGGATGGTTTCCAAACCCAGACCCGTCTCCAGAGAAGATGGAGACAGAGCCCACAGAAAAGAGTAAAGAAATCACAACTCAGTTAAGTTTTGAGGAAGACTTATCAATGGAACGTATCCATCCTTTCACATCCCCTTGTGTCCCAAGTTCCCCCAAGGGAATCTAAGGACCTCCAAGATATCCTTCTATCCTGTTCTTCTCCAGCAAAACGACTACAATACAAAAAAACCCAAACTCTCACTTAGCACTTTAAACCCAAACAATTTCCTTTCACAAAAACCCAATGAAGGGGCACCTGGCTGGCTCAGGCGGTAGACCATGCAACTCTTCATCTGGGGACTGTGACTTCAATCCCCACACTCGGCCTAGAGCCTACTTTAAAATATATATATATATATATCCCCCCAAAGAAATTAAAAACACAGGAAAGGAAGATTTAGAATACAAGTATAATGTCAAATCTTATGTTTTTTAAATAAAGATAAACATAGTTTTTGGAGGTAACCAATTTATTAGAGCCCATTTCTTCTACCAAAGTTTCATTGGCACAATTTAAAATTAAGTTTAAAAGAAAACAACTTGAAGGGAACTTTAGCAGGAGAGAAAATTACATCTGCACACTCAATAAAACAAATACCTTGACATTCTTCTACATCTGAATCATTACAGATGAATAATCCTAACATCCAAATCATTCCACTCCAGGGCACCCAACTGCCCCAGGTCAAAAGTCCCTATTCTCCCAGGTACTCTCGGGGCAGACTTTCCTCAGTCAGACCTGGGAAAATACCACTGTTCACTTTGGACTGAGAAAAACAACAACGGACTTGAATGTCTTCTAGCACAATGCAGTGTGGCAGGACATAACAAACACTGGAATGGGACGTGAGGGAATTAGAGAGGTGAAATGACATTTATTAACCACCAACCACATTACGGCCACTGAAGACTGAATTCCAGAACAAACTATCACAAAACTACTTCTGTGATCCTGAATAAATCTCAAGTATTCCCTTTGAAAATGAATGAGAAACAGTTCCTGTAGTTCTCAGATTCTAGGAGTCTACAAACAGGATCATTCAGTAACAAATGTGTTACTGTTAAGCATAATGAAGGTATTTAAAAAGGCTTTTGCTTTGTTCCTCTCCAATGCACCCCCTACACCACTGACAAAATAATCTTTCTAGAACATGAAACTTTATCACCCGATGCTTAAAAACCCTGAAATGCTCATCATTTACTGCAGCACAAGCTAAAGCTGTCCCAAGTTACCTGAAGAAGTCTGGCTGTTTGGTTCCTTCAAGCTTTTGTTCATGCTGTTTGCTCGGCCTGGAGTGTACCTCTCCCCGTCTTCCATAGGGTACAGCCTTAACTCATCTTTCAAGACTCAGCTCAAATGTCATCTCCTCTGGGAAGCACTTTCCAACCTCTGCATGCCCAAGGCAGAACAGACCTTTAGGCCCTTAGAATCCCCCCTACATACTTCTATTGCAGCAACTACCACACTTCATTACATCTATATATTTATGCATCTGTCTCCTCCCCCTGGACCCATAAACTCCTTGTAGGTAGAGACCTCATCTGACTCATCTGTTTCCTCGGTGCCTAAGACAGTGCTTACAAGGTAGGAGACATTCAAAGGATGCTTGTTGGAGTCGGGGAAGGAAGAACAAGGAAGAAGTCCATTAAAATGGCCTAAAGCCTACAGAATAGTGTATTAGTGTATCGTTACCACTATCTCTGGCCTTTTGCTCTTTTCCTAAACCCTAGTCGTCAGAGAGTTTATTCATTCTCTTGGCTACAGCCACTACATCCATGCTGATGCACCACAAAACCACACTTGCAACTGTACTAACCTCGTCCTCCACTCTCCACCAGCTTCACCAGCTTCAGGCTCATCTCTAGGAACTAGAAGAGCTTTCACTTGGACGTTCCATTACCACTTTATATCCGATACCTCTTATGCTGAACTCATCAAATTCCCTCCAAAAATGAGGAAACCTTCCTACATTCCTTATCTCGATGTCTCAGAACCCAGGCTAAAAAATGTCATGGTCATACTTGATGGATCACTCTCCATCTGCCACATCCATTCCTCACGGATTTCAATTTTTCTTCACAATCTCTTTTTCCCCCTTTTCTCTCCTGATCGCACCCTCTACAACTCTAACTCAGGTCTCATCACCTCACACACCCCGGGTGCCAATCTCCCTTCCATCCCAGCCAATCTGGTTCCTACTATCATATTAGTATCCTCCTCAAAAATTCATAGTGCTTCACTATTTTCTATCCTTTAAAATTTCAACTGATAAGCCTGCCTTATAAGACCCCTATAAAACACAGCTCCAAACCAACCTAAGCACCTCATGTCATTACTGTTCACTGATACTCAGGACAGTCTCATCACTGCCCCAAGAACACCCAAGCCTGGTCCAGGCTTTTGCCTGATCCCTCTCAGCTCCAAATGAAATGGTTTTGTTGTTGTTATTTGCTTCACCTTCACCCCTTGTAACTGACACAATTTTCTTTTTTAAAGATCTGGAATAAGTTACAATTTCTCTGTGATATTAATAACTACCTGAGTGCTCTTCCCCAATATGGTATGAGGTCTGTACTATGCAATCAATAATATAATTTCAGATTTTCTGGGGTGCCTGGGTGGCTCAGTCAGTTAAGTGTCCGACTTTGGCTCAGATCATGATCTCACGGTTCATGTCAGGCCCTGTGCTGACAGCTCGGAGCCTGGAGCCTGCTTCATATTCTGTGTCACCCTCTCTCTCTGCCCCTCCCCTGCTTGCTCGCTCTCTCTCTCTCTGTCTCTCAGAAATAAATAAAAAACACTAAAAAAATCTTTAAAAATAATAACTTCACATTTTCTTTGTTTCATCTGTCTGGCATAATAGAGGCTTAACAGGTATTCACTCCTCCTTATACCCCTTACTCCCTACTGGATTGCAAACTCTCCAAAGGCACAAAATCATTTTTCCTAATCCTCTGCAGTAACCAGCATAAAACTAAACTCAAAGCAGGTCACTAAAAATAACAGCTTAATAATTTTCCCTATCCAAAATTATTTCTTAGAGGAAATAAAAAGATGAGACATAATCCTAAAAAACACAACTGAAAATAATCCTGAACTAAACTGTATAAATTAAGATTCCTGACTTCCACCTCTGATTTCCACTCATAAATACTACAACTCCTGACTCAAGAAGTAAATAATAATCCTGTGCTCATGACATCATAAGCACATAGTTTGGTAATGACTATGAGAAGGTAGGGGGGAAGGCAGGGGTGGGGAAAGGCAGTGGTGAAGGCAAGCAAGTCAACTGAAAGAACATGTTGCAAGAACAGCCGTGTGATTTTTTTGTTTATTACATGTGGACACTGCTCCCCATATCTTTTTTTTTTTTTTTAATTGGCCAGATTTTCAAACAAGTTTACTTCAGGAGGAAAAACCTGACAGATTATTAGCAGAGCTGATATCTGGAAAAGCTTCTACAAAGCCCAAGTCCTTCGAAAAAGCTACCTTCATTCATCTTCAACAAGGCAACACAACACGATAGGATTCCTCCAGATATACCGTGAGTGAGGACTCATTCTGGCTACAACATAGGCATCATCTATAAATCACTCTCAGGCATAAGGTAGACAGCTTAGGTGGCCATACTGGACTTGCACAGATTTTGAAAAGAAATTCATCTTCATTAACATACTCAGTATAGTCCAGTCTTAACTATCCATTTTAAAGGATTTCTGAGGAAAATCTTTAAACCAAGGTGGACTCTTCTTTGCCATCAATATACCCGCCTCACCATCAGGTAACATAGGCTTAGGAATGCAAATTCATTATCAGCATTAGTATGAGCCTCAATAACATTGAAATAAATCTGGTTTATGGGGTGCCTGGGTAACTTAGTCCGGTAAGCATCCAACTCTTGATTTCAGCTCAGGTCATGATCTCATGGTTCCTGGGATAAAGCCCCACATTGGGCTCCATGCTAACAGCACAGAGCCTGCTTAGGATTCTCTCTCTCCCTCTCTCTCTGCCCCTCTCCAATTCTCACTCTCTCTCTCTCTCTCTCTCTCAAAATAAATAAACTTTAAAAATAAATAAATAAAACACATCTGGCTTAAAAAATAACGCATTTTCAAACCAAGAAATTTCCATATTAAGTTCTGAATTACATATACTAGTGTGCCCTACAATAGCAGAGATAACTGAAAGTTAAATGCACCTAAAACATGACACTGTCCTTACCATAAGCTCTTTAGGAGAATCCAGCCATAACCCACAAGCCAGTACAATAAGAGACAGGCACAAGCAGAGCTCAGCATGGTAAGGTGTGTGGACACAAAAACTTCTACAAGGAATCCTGTCTCCTGGATGGTCCCTTTACACCAAGATGGTCCAGGAGAGAAACTGAAGTTACAATGTACCGGTGGCCGCCTGACTCCTTGTCCCTGAGTTCCTGGACTAGAAGGCTCAATACTTCTCACTAAATCCATCCTTTGTTCAAGAACCTACAATGACTCTATTGACGCTTCCATCAACACCCAACAGAGTCTGGCCTCTGAGTCCCCTCCACCCTCTTGCCTGCTCTACCCATGACTTGACCACCCACATTCTCTCCTGCCCCTCTCATTTATTCCCCCAACAAACACAGCTTAGTCATTCACATCATCACTGCACACTGTACCTTCTATACTTTCTGTCTGGAAGATCTTTTATTTTCTTTTACTCCTAACACAGAATCGCTATTTCATTTACTTGAATGTTCACATGTATCTCATAGATAAGGACGGACAACTGTCCAAGATCACACAGTCAAGATTTGAACCAAGTTTGATCTAACTCCATTGGCCATTCCTCTTTATAACTCTAATCCATAGCCTCCAAGTCCATTTCACATTTTGCTGTTTCAGGGAGTGCCTGGGTGGGTCAGTCGGTTAAGCGTCTGACGTTGGCTCAGGTCATGATCTCCTGGTTCATGGGTTCAAGCCCCGCATCAGGCTCTGTGCTGACAGCTCAGAGCCTGGAGCTTGTTTTGGTTTCTGTGTCCTCTTCTCTCTCTGCCCCTCCCCTGCTCACACACTGTCTCTCTCTCTCTCTCTCTGTCTCTCTGTTTTGGTTTCTGTGTCCTCTTCTCTCTCTGCCCCTCTGCTCACACACTGTCTCTCTCTCTCTCTCTCTCTCTCTCTCTCTCTCTCTTTCTCTCAGAAATAAACATTAAAGAAAAAAATTTGTTTTAATTTTGCTGATTCAGAAATCTTTCCTAATTGATCTCACGGAATCTTACCTTGTTACTTCAACTTTTCTAGCCTCTACATACTCCATTTGTAGCACATTAAACTTGCTTTCATTTACATGTTGTGTTCTAAATGTTAAAGCTTATAACAGTATGCCGTCCCTTTTTATATACCCGTTGTGATGGGTATATAGAGTCATGTCCCAAGGGCAAGGACACCCATCTTTATATCTTTTCTATATTCCCAAAGTCCACCACTGGAGTTTGGAGACCGCTTTCTCCACAAGAGTGCTCAATCATTATTCAGCAAGTATTTCTTACTTAAATTTAAAAAAAAAAAAAAAACTTTCTTCTATCATATTAAAAAATCTACTGAATTCAGGCATTCATAAAACTGCCCTGCATGTTTATTCCAGTTACACAGAATTTAATTCTCTGAATTTATTGGGGGCTGATGAGAAGATTTCACAGCTCCTAAGTTCCCACAGGGAAGACATTCCTGAAGGCACACCTCAAAAGCACTGTCTCAGGATTTTCCCTCGATGGGATTGGGGTAAGAAGAGGAGGTGCTCCTTACAAGAAGCCTTACAAGAATCTTCCAGAATCCATAGCATGCTTAAGCCATGCTTGAGAAGCTCTAAAACTTTCACAAGTGGCACTTAGTATCCCCATAACAATCTGAAAATTTATTTTTAATACTGTTATTCCATCATAATTCACTCAGTTACATATATTGAATCAAAAACCCAAACGATGCCTTCTGCAAAATGGGAATGGTGGTAGACTACTAGGCTGCCCTTTGCTTATTCCTAGGTTTATTCAACTGCTTCAATCCGCAGCCCCATCCCATCCCACCAGCCACAGAATAATAAATGTAGAAGTTGATATAAATAGATATAAACATACTTTCTGCCTGGAAGTTCTTTTCTCTTTGTATACTTCTAATAAAGAATAACTATTTCATTTGCCTGAATGCTCATACATACTTTATAAATAAGAATGTAGAAGTAAATTGTCCAAGGTCACATAGTAAAAACCATAATCAAGATCTGAACCAAGTTCTATCGAACTCCACAGGTCAAGCTTCTTTAGGACTCTAATCCATAGTCTCCAATTCCATTTCAAATTTTGCTGATTCAGAAATCTTCCCTAATTTATCTCATTGACATAAATAGAATTTCCCAGACATCACTAATACTGGCATCAACCGACTCACAAATTAAAACAATGATTAATAGTCAAAGAGGGTGTGTGTGGTTTTTAAAAATGTGATGTTACCCTCCAAATTAAATCTTTTTTCAATAGGGGTCCCAAAAGACGGAGATTAAGGATCTAAAGCTTCAGGAATATTTCCAAGTTGTTGGTGACATAACTCTATCAAGTCCAACTAACAATTACCATTCATTACTGTTCAGCCTGCCTTATACAAGTCAACAGACAGCCCTTTCTTTGGCAAAGGTTTACTTTTTTTTCCACAAGGGAGTCTTTGGCATTAAATGAAAGGGATAAGTCAAGTGAGGCAACAACAACAAAAAATTAGTAATGGTTTGGAAATTATCGTCTTTCCATCTTTCCTTCCTGCTTGAATGCTTAATGCCCAAAGTGGATATCTGTTCAATTCTAAATTATTCATGTTAATGGATAATTATCGGCAGAAAGGTGCTGATAATCCAGAATGGAATAAAATCGAAAAGTAATCTATTTCAGTTTCGGAAGATCTTTTCAGCATATTTACTTTCTCAATTATTCCTAGCATGAGCTAATATTTGTATTCATCTGTGATCACTAAGTACATAGTAACTGGCCACTTACTCAGGGAGGTACTCTGAGACATGCCGGGTAGCTAGTGGAAATTAGAACAAGACTGGTATTCAGACGCCAGATGAGCAACATCAATTTCATTTATTTTACAGTTCTGTTCAGCCTTCAAAATATCAATAGACTAGCAGAGCAGGTTGGATACTAAACTTTAAAAGAACTGTTCAGAAAAACAATGAGGACAAAGAGTATAATATATTCGTTTGTAAATTACGCACAGCAAACGTTTAATTACAAGTGTGAGTCTCCCAAGTCACCCAGCAGAAGTCCCTGCTGTCTTCTCACCCCACCAGGAATGCAATCTCATTCACTAGGAAGGAAATTTTCTAAATATTTAAAATGTAGGATTTGCTATCCTTTTTGGACTAGCCTTATCACTCCCTCTTCTTGTCCTTTCCCACCTTAGAAATAGATTCTGAAACACAAAAGGATCCAGCCTCCTCCAAGACCTCCTAAATAAATATACTAAGTATGACAAGCCAAAGACTGAAAAATGATCAGCATCTGATTTTTCTAAAAAGCATATTGTATACACAGTTATCAAACTATAACAAAAATAAAAGTCAAAGTCCTGCTAATTCTCGCCTTTGCATTTATGAAAAGGAAATCCCCCGAAGAGTGTGGGGAGACTCTCAATTTCACCAGTTCACTTCTTTCAACTTAATTTCTGTATCTGTATTGTGCCCAGAGGAACCACCTAGGTCAGACAGACTACCTAGACAGAGAGGGAGGGAGGCAGGGAGGGAAAGAGACTCGGAAAGACTCGGAGACACTCAGAGCTCTGGTCCTTGTGAGCCGACAAGCTAAAAATACGCCGGCCCAGTAAACAAATCCCATTCCATCCCGACCGGAGCCACACCGTTAACCTAGTAATTATGAGAAGAGGAGTGAGATCACGCAGCCCACGGCTTACTCATCATCAGCTTCTAAAGTTTCCATCGGCTCAGAGCAACTTTTCTTTTTTCTAAAGTTCATAAGCCTGCCCTAGAATCAATCAATCCTTCTCTCTCTCCCCCTCTCCCTCGCTCTCACACTCGCACACTTTTCGCTCCCTTCCTCCATTATTGGACGCATCTCAGTTGGCTCTCTACAGGGAAGAACAAGCTTGTTTTCTTTTCGTTGTACTTTTATACTGAGACTTTTACAATGAACTTTATCCTCCTCTGCGGGTAGGATAGGGGGTAGCCTGCACTCCAACCACCTTAAAACTCCACCATCCCTTCCCGAAAGTCTCGCTGACAAGGGAGGACCGTCCACACTGCCCAGCACAGCTTAGGAAGGGAGGCCGGGAACGGGGCCGGGGGGCTAGGAACGCGGGACGCAGGTGAAAGGGAGGAGTAACTGGGGAAAAGGTTGGGGCCAAGCAAGGAACAGTCAGGGCGAGGAGAGGGTGACCGGAGGCGGTGGCTCCGGGTGAAATATCATCGGAAAGGAGAAGGGGGACAGTGGAGATCGGAGGGTCAGAGTTTGGGAGTCCTGAAGAGGCGGGAAGGGCAGGAGCAGACGGGGGAAGGTGACAGGGCAGGGGGCTCCGTTACCCTCGCGGCTCCCGGGGCAAGGCCCTAGGCCGGGGCGGAGCGCGGGGCCCGGCCGCCTCTCCTCATTCCTCGGCTGTGACCCCGGGGTCCGGCTGGCCCCTCCCCCGACGACGATGGAGGCGGAGGCGGCGGCGGAGACTGCGACCGCGGTTGTTGCTCCGCACAGGATCAGGAGCCGGAGCCAGACGGCACTGATCTGGACTGGCCTCCCCCAGCGGCTTTTTGCCTCCTCCACACCCCGTCGCCACTACGGCTCCGGCAGCTGGTTCGGGATCGGTGGCTTTCGGCCGTCCGGCCGGAAACTAGCGCCAGTTTCCGGCCGGAGCGTGTTGGTGGTGACACCCAAGCCGCCCCCAGGCCTCCTCCCGCCCCGCCCCGCCCCGCCCCGCCCCGTAGCAGCCCCGCCTTTAGTGCCGCTCCCCTGGCTGTGGCCAGTTTGGCGCCTGCCCCGCGCGTGACCCCATGTTTTCCAGGACCGCGTTCCTAAGGCCTCGGGTCTGGAGAGTTCTTGAACCGGAGCTGCAGGAGTGCAGGGTGGGCTCTTGAGACTTTGAGGTAGAGTCAGTTGGCTCCAGCCCTTTGGGGAAAAAGCAGAAAGCGGCGAATAGTTCTGGAAAGGTGAGAGGGGTGATAATACTTTGGAACGAGAACAGTGAAGTTCTAGTTACTCGGCGCAGTCATTCTGGACTGACCAGAGGAAAGTTAACCATACTTCTTCCAGACCAGTCTCCACCCAGTTTTGCAAGTCTCCTTAAATCACTCGTGAAGTGAACATACCCTTCCCTGTGGGCATGTCCGCCTCCGACTGTAAGCCTGATGGAAAGAAGTCGAGTATCGCTGTGCTTGATAATGCCCTTTAACAGCATTCCAGCATAATTCAATTTAACAAATACTTACTGAGTCCCTACTATGTGCAAGATACTGTGTTGATATTGGGGACACAAAAATGTATAAGAAGACATAATTCCAGGGGCGCCAGGGTAGCTCAGTCGATTAGGCATGGCATTCCGACTTGGGCTCTTGTAGTGATCTCACTGTTTGTTAGTTTGAACCCACCGTGGGGCTCTGTGCTGACAGCTCAGAGCCTGGAGCCCGTTTCAGATTCTGTGTCTCCCTCTCTCTCTGACCCTCCCCTGCTCATGCTCTGTCTCTCTCTGTCTCAAAAATAAATAAACGTTAAAAAAATTTTTTTTAATAAATAAATATTAAAAAAAATTTTAAAGATATAATTCCAGGCATCAAGGATCTTTCTTACACTTTAGTAAAACACATGCAACTATGTTTTATGAAACAGAACTCACATGTGTGCTCTGTGAGTTACAATAGGCTATGGCTATAAGAGCTTTGTTCTTCAAAATACAGAAGCAGACCTTCCATATTTGCTGAATGTATAACTAAATATTAGGAGAGCAGAGCCATTGAATCAATACCTCTTTATGACAAACACAAAATGAGGCCATCTGACCAAAGAAATCCTGAATTTTAATTCAGATTCCTAACATTGTGGCACCTGATCTGCATATTAAAAATGTTTATTTTCTAAATTGCGCCCATTAGGCCTATTTAAAAACAAACACTGTATTATACTCGACTTTCCCCCTCAGTACTTCCTGAAGTCCTCAGTTTCTAAATGGGAGGGGTGGAGCATAGACCTGTTGGAATTATCCAGCTCCGGACTAGAAAATGGACATCTGAAACAGGAAACTGCCCAGACAGGCAGCTCTATCTCCTGAGGACACCCAGGGTTTAGAGTTGATTCAGGGCTGGGCCTAAGGCCATACCAAGGCCAAGCAGGTCAGAGTGCCTTGCAGGAGGCACACCCAGGACCAACAGTACAAGTTGGCAAGCAGAGCCATTTGGCCTGGGCTTCAAGCGTGCGGGGACTACGAATTTTGGCTGCTGTTCAGTGGCAAATTTGAGGAGGAGGGTAGAATGAGACTTGGTCATCTAAGTTGATTCTAACTGAACTCCACTGATCATGGCCACCACTTGCTGGCTAAATCTGAGGTAGGAGAACAGAGTCACAAAGGAGCAGCCTCAAAAAGCTAAAGCGGTTTTGTTTCACCAAAGTCCTCCCAGGGCGAGGTTATGCTCATCTGTTAACTATTTCTTTCCAGTCTTAATTCCACTACCACTGCGTTATTAGAACCAGGTACGGAGTTCAAAGGCACTCTCCACCCTCATTACAAGGCAGGCCTTTACTTGGCAGTGACCACAGAAAGTTTCCAAATTTGAAAGCTGGGCCAAACTCAATTAAGTAACCACACTTTTTACAGGCTTGCCTGGAAATTTAGGGGCCAGGAAGTGATGGGGTTGCAGTTGCTCTGTGCCTGTTTCTTGCTCTGACCGTCCATCACTCATTGTTGTTTGTGTGATTGCTCAATGGGCTGCTTGTTTTGGGTCAGCCCAGGCTGTGTGGGTAGCGGTGTGGTCAGCCAGGATGGGAGCCAAGCCACCTGGGTTCTGGTCCCAGCTCAGCCAGCCCCTAAGCCATTAAGTGACTCTCTTCCTATTCCCACGTGTCAGGTCCTCACCTCATCTGTAGTGATATGCAGCCATTTGGGCCGTCAGTAAGCTGAATATTCAGAAGCAACTGTCTGATATCACTGTCAGCTGCCAGAACACAGCAGATTATTTTTTGCTGCCAGGTAAAAGAATAGGAAAAAGATGAAGGTAAAAGCGGCAGAGAAAATCCTACCAGTGTACCAGCCACACACCCTCATCTGCCATTTAGTACCAAGTTCTCTTCCATCCTAAGGGCATGTTTTTATTTACTCATCTTAGCAATTCACAGAGCTGCTCCAAGGAGTTCCCTGAGCTTTCACTTCACTTTAAGCAAGAACTGAAAATATAGAGCTTTGCATTTCACCGGAGAAACTAAAAGGAAGAGACTGTTTCAATACTGTGGCTAATGGATGGGGGGGGGGGGGGGAAAGGTTCAGAGAAAGCTATTTTGCAGCTCACCAGGAAAAAAAAAAAACAGCAATTGTTTGCATTTAAATGCTTTTGTGGTGGAACAGAAAACCAAACCAAAATAACTTCCGTTCCACTACCACCACCGTAATTTAGACCAGTGATTCTGTGGAGTTTCAAAACAACGCACAGTATATGCCTAGGAACCTCAGACAGACTAACTCAGAATTTCGGGGACTGAAAACCATGAAACTGAATATTTTTTAAATATCCACAGTTCTTTCTTTTTTTTTTTTTTTTTAGATATAATTGTCATACAACATTATAGCAGCTTCGGTTAACAACATAATGATTCAATATCTGTGTATGTTGTAAAATGATCACATGAAGTCTACTAAACATCATCAACACACGTAGTTACATGTTTTTTCTTGCGATGAGAACTTTTAAGATTTACTCTCTTAGCAACTTTCAAATATGCAATATGGTATTATTAACTGTAGTTGCCATGCTTTATATACAGTCCTGTAACTTGTTTTTTAACTGAAAGTTTGTACCTTGTGACCTCCTTCACCCTTTTCACCCATCCCAACATTCCCCTCTCCTCTGGCAACCACCAATCTATTCTCTGTATCTATGAGCTCAACTTTTTTCTTTGTTTTGTTTCGTTTGTTTTGGTGGTGGTTTTCTTTTCTTTTTTTTTTTTTTTTTTTGATTCCACATATAAGTGAAATCATATCATATTTGTCTTGTCTTTGTCTGACTTATTTCACTTAGCATAATGACCTCAAGGTCCATCTATGTTGTCACAAATGGAAAGATTCCATTTTTTTTTTATGGCTGAACAGTGTTCCTTTATATATATATATAACAGATATTTGCATATATATACATGTATGTATGTATGTATGCCACAGGTTTTTTTTATTTTTTAAATGTTTATGTATTTTTGAGAGAGCGCACGAGCAGGGGAGGGACAGAGAGAGAAGGGGACAGAAGATCTGAAGCGGGCTCCACGCTGACAGCAGAGAGCCCAATGCGGGGCTCGAACTTGCAAACCTAAAGAACATGACCTGACTGAAGTCAGATGCTTAACCCACTGAGTTACCCGGGCATCCCATATACCATAATTTTTTTATCCATTCAGCTATCACTGGACACTTAAGGTTGTTTCCATGTCTTGGCTGTTGTAAATAGTGCTGCAATGAACATAAGGTTCATATATCTTTTTGAATTAGTGTTTTCATTTTCTTCAGATAAATACTGAGAAATGGAATTGCTGGATATAGTTCTATTTATAATTTTTTGAGGAATCTCCATACTGTTTTCCATACTGGCTCCACAAATTCAAATTCCCACCAACAGTGCTCAAGGGTTCTCTTTTCTCCACATCCTGGCCAACACTTGTTATCTTTTCTTTTTGATGGTAATCGTTCTAACATGTGAGGGGATAGCTCATTGTGATTTTGATTTGCATTTCCCTGATTACTGATGTTGAGTATTTATTCATGTGTCTGTTGGCCATCTGTATTTCTTCTTTGGAAAAAATGTCTGTTCAAATCCTCTGCCCGCTTAACTAATCAGATTATTTTTTTTTTTGCTATTTAGTTGTAGGAGTTCTTCATATGTCTTGGACATTAATTCCTTATTAGATAGATGTTTTGCAGATATTTTCTCCCACTTAGTAGGTTGCCTTTTCATTTTGATTTCCTTTGCTATGCGGAAGCTTTTTAGTGTTTATTTTTTTGTTTGGAGTCAGACCCAAAAAATCATTAAGACCGATGTCAAGGAGCTTATTACTTATGTTTTCTTGCAGGAGTTTTATGGTTTCAAGTCTTAAATTCTAGTCTTTAATTCATTTTGAGTTCGTTTTTGTGTATGGCATAAAATAGTGATCTAGTTTCATCCTTTTGCATGTGGTTGTTCAGTTTTCCTAACATTTTTTTTTTTTTTTTTTTGAGAGAGAGAGAGAGAGAGAGACACAAGTGGGGAAGAGGAGCAGAGAGAGAGAGAGAGAGAGAGAGAATCTTAAGCAGGCTCCACACTCAATGTGGAGTCTGGTGTGGTGCTTGATCTGACAACCCCAAGATCGTGACCTCGGATGGTCAACTAACTGAGCCACCCAGGCGCCCATCCCAACATTTATTGAAGAGACTGTCCTTGCCCCCATTCCATGTTCTTGCCTCCTTTATCATATATTAATTATCCATGGATGTATGGTTGCCTTTCTGGGCTCTCTATTCTGTTCCATTGATCTATGTGTCTGTTTTTATGCCAATACCTTACTGTTTTGATTACAACAGTTTTGTAATATAGTTTGAAGTCAAGGAGTGTGATGCCTCTAGCCTTGTTCTTCTTTCTTGCGATTGCTTTAGCTCTCTTCAGGGTCTTTTGTGGTTCTACACAAATATTAGGATTGTTTTTCTATTCCTGTGAAAAATGCCACTGGAGTTTTGACAGGATTGCATTGAATCTATAGATTGCTTTGGGTAAGTATAGACATTTTGCAATATTAATTCTTCTACCCCATGAGCATGGAATATCTTTCTGTTTGTGTCTTCTTCAATGTCTTATAGTTTTCAGTATACAGGTATTTCACCTCCTTGATTAAGTTCATTCCTAGTATTTTATTCTTTTTGATGCAGTTGTAAATGGGAGTGTTTTCTTAATTTCTTTTTCTGAGTGTTCATTGTTAATGTATAGAAATGCAGCAGATTTTTGTATATTGATTTTGTATCTTGCAACTTTACTGAGTTCATTTTGTTAGTTCTAACGTGCATGGTTCTTATAAAGTTAAACACATTTCTACCCTATTATCCAGCAATTCTACCGGGTATTTACCCAATGGAAATTAAAACATATATCCCAGGGGCGCCTGGGTGGCGCAGTCGGTTGAGTGTCCGACTTCAGCCAGGTCACGATCTCGCGGTCCGTGAGTTCGAGCCCCGCGTCGGGCTCTGGGCTGATGGCTCAGAGCCTGGAGCCTGTTTCCGATTCTGTGTCTCCCTCTCTCTCTGCCCCTCCCCCGTTCATGCTCTGTCTCTCTCTGTCCCAAAAATAAATAAATAAATGTTGAAAAAAAAATTAAAAAAAAAAAAACATATATCCCAAAAAAGCTTATACATGAATAGTCAAAACCACTTTATTCATAACAGACCCAAACTAGAAACATCTCAAATGTCTACCAACAGAAAAAAGAGGCAAATAAATTGATCAAGGAATGGAACACAAGTTAAAAAAATGAACTCCCTGTAAACACAACAACATAGATAAATCTCAAATCATTTGTTGACCAGAAGAAGCCATTTATATGAAATTTGAGGATAGGCAAAAGTAATAGATAATAATAAAAATAATACCATGATAATAGAAATACTAGAAATCAAACCATGGTTGCCTTTGTGGGGTGTGGGTATTGAATAGTAAGAGGGCACAGAGGAACTTTCTAGCATGATGGAAATGTGCTATATCTTGTTGTTACAATGTACACATGTACATCAAATTATATACTTAAAATCTGTGAATTTTATCTCAACTTTAAAAAGAGAAAACAAATATCCTGGCTTCCTTTGTAACACTTGACCAGGTTATAAATTTACATTTACTTGTGGATTATTTTATTGATATTTGCTTCATCCATTAGACTGTGAAGCTCTATAAGTTCACCATTTTATCTTAGTATGTAGCACAGTGCTTGACCCATGGTAGCCATTCATTAAATATTGAGTGAATGAATAAATGAATGGACAGTTGAGAGCCGCTGCTTTGGGAGCACATATCAGACTCCTTTTATAGAGTCACATCCAGACTCATAATATATACCTGGGTCTCTGTATTCCTAGGCCCTCTATCTGTGCATCGTTGCTAGATTATGCTTCCTAAAATATTTCATTGATATTTTCCATCCCCCCTTTTCCTCCTGGCTTATAGAACCCTGATTATGTTCAAGTAGCCACCCTTCAGTACATAACCATGGGCTTCAAGGGGAGATTCGCTCCAGTGGAGGACTAGAGGCTGAGTGGGAAGGAGATGGGGAAACACTGATAGATCTAAGCCAATTATGAGGTTCCATTCCCCTTGTCAGTGCTTGGTTTAGGCAGGTGATAAAGTTCTGACCAATGTGAGATTCAAGGAAATCTGCTTGACCTTCTCAATCTTAAAAAGAGACTCAGAGAAATAAGAAAAGATTCTCTTCTGCTGCTGAATCTTGTTGAATCTGGAATGGCTGTTCCAGTTAAGGGACAAGCTGACATACTAAGGATGGCTGAGCAAAAAGATGAAAGGAATTTGGGTCTTGGGCAAACTGCTGATTTAGCCAATCCTGAGTGGTCTTCCTTGAAATATTTATTATATGAGATAATAGATCTTCCTTATTGTTTAAGCCATTTTGAATTTAGTTTTTCTATCACTTGTAACCGAAAGCATCTCAACTAATAAAAACCCATCAACAGCTCCTCAATATCTATAGGATGAAGTCAAAATTCCTTTGTCAGCCCTGTAAGATCCTACACAACCTGACCCCAGACTAGTCCTAACTCCAGAGTGTGGCTTGCTAATTTCCGTCTCTACATTCATGTTCTACATCCTTTAGCACCACTGGTGTGCTGGTAAATACTAACGACCAGCTTTCCAGAAGGAAAAAATCCTGAGTTAGAACATTTACCAATTTCCATGGTGTAAATATTCCTGCCCCTGACAATTTCATGCTACTAATGTGATGTCACTGAACACAGAATTGGACAGGAGATGTGCGATCAAGTGCAAGCCAGTAAGAACACACAACCATGTTACCACTCAACTTTCTCTCTTCGGTCCATAAATGTTCTCCCTAGAGTTCAAGGCCCAACCCGTATAATCTCCTTTTAAAGACTTCCTATAAAATCCCAAGCTGTGAATGTCTTCACCAATTGGAATCTGAGAGTTGGGTTGAATTGTTAGTTTTCACAGGTATTTACCAATAAGTCAGCTATTTAATCAATTAATGAAAAAACCTAGGAATAATAAAATAGCCAGAGAGAAGAGTTCAGTGACACTGTTTTTAAAGGGTTCCTAGCATTAGGCATTAGGAGAACTTTCTGCTAGAAAGTCCCTGCTGCCAGGCCCTCTGAGCACCAAAGATCACTGGAGGTACTTTGTTGTTAAATAGGATTTATCAGCTCTCAATTATTGTGAGTGCTGGTTCCCAGGAGAGCTGTGTTAGGACGTTATCTAAAGGGCTCTTGGCAAGATTGGGTGTGTTCCTATTCTGGTCCTGACAAATCCCCTGAGGATGTAAGAATGGGCTTCGTGTAGCCCTCAGAGGCCTACCAATAGGTAGGTAAGGAAGAGAAGCCAGTTCCTGAGGCTTTGAAGAGAGCAGATGCAACCTTACCTGATCAGAATGCCAGCCAGGTGGGTCAGCTTCATCTCCACTTCACAGGTGACACACCCTCAGGTTTGGAGGAAAAGCAAATAATTAGACAGCCAAAACATTGGCTGAGGCAATGAGGAGAGGCCGGGGAATGGAGTGACTAAGTCACTGTGTCCCCTGACTAGGTCAGCACTGGGAGGCAGGCCAAATTCAGGCTACTGGAAACTGACAGAGCATTCAGGGGATAGAAGATGTTGAAACTGCACCAAACTGCCCCTTTTTATGTGATTCACAGTGCACATTGAGCTCTTTAGGTACTGCATGCTACATTTTTTTTTTCTAAATTATACATATATGCTTTTATTCCTGCCTGAGAGAACTCTGTGGTTGAATGACTATATCTAATTGGCATCTACTAGAATCTTCCTCAGTGATGTGCCCTCTGTCACTCTCCAGGTTACCAAGCTGATCAGCATTAGTTCCCACATTACTTATGGTCTATGAACAAGCCTGCAGATCATAGCAACTCCCCACAGAGAAGTAAACAGATGATAGTTTTTTCAGCTGGAAAAAAATCTGGAATTGAAAAGTGTCGCCACAACTTAGGTTACCTTGGGTTACACTTACCCTCATGTGTTAGGGAACCTTCTCAGTTGAGGATGAGATGAAGCCCTAAAGGCAGAAAAAATTGGTAGAACAAGACCAAGAACTCAGGAGGGATCTATAAATGAGTAAAGTACTATAGAAGCACCCAAGAGAAAAGTGTAAGACCCAAGGGACATTTCAAAAGAAAGCATTGGCTATGGGAAGAGAAAGGAAGGCAAAATTGAAGGGCTGAATAACGAGACCCAGTTAGACAAAGGTCACAAGCACTAATCAGGGATGCTGGCCCTGCCATAATTTCTAAGTGGGCTAGCTCCCCACAGGAGAGCTCTGCTCTTACTTGCCAGTAAAGGATACTGAATAAAGCACCAGACTGCTGGCCTCCTTGTCTAGATCCTCCACAGGAGGGACAAAAGCTCAACAAAATGGGAATTAATACAATTCAGGGAATTCTGTTGATATTTTTAAGCCCCCGCCATGTGTAAGGCATGCAAAGATACAATCATTGCCCTTAGGGAGCTTTCATGAGCAACACTAGACATTAGTAATCCAAATCATTCTCTGCTTGACACATGTCCTTTACCTTATACAGGAAGAAAGATGGAAGGTGATGTAGACTATAAAAAGACAATGTGACCTTTGACTACAGACATTCATTCCTGAAAGCAGCTGAAAGGGCCAATTATTACTGCCCATACAGTACACTTTGTTGTTGATTTCCTGCTTCCTGCAAGACTTTCCTTTTGATTTTTAGTTTCTTCCTCCCCTCCTTCACTAGATGATTAGTGTTTACAGGCCCTTATGCAGCAAGTAGCTTCTAACACTCAGAAGGTATGATGGTTACTTAACACCAAAGCACAGCCCAGTGGGCTGGCGTTGCTCTGGCCTATTCCGGTGGGTACCCTACCCACTGGACAAATAACAAAACTACAGTTAGATTACCATGCAGACTCAGCTTGTCACTAGTGTCCCTGCTTAAACTTAGGCTAGGTGCTTTTTGTTTTTTGTTTTTTAATGTCTGAATCCATTTGTTAATACCTCTGTGTTGTCATTACATCTATTCTCCACAACCACGGTCTTAAGCTCATTACCTCTGACCGAAAGTACTGTAAAATAACTCCACAACTGTTCTCTTGCCTTTAATCTCTCTCTTCTCTTACCACCCTTCAGGCCCTACCTAAAAACTATGGTCTGGTCAATCGTTCCCTTGCTCAAAAGCCTTCAATTGTCCTGTCCTTGAAGAAAAATTTATCTACTGCCAATAATAATTATTGTCATAATTATTACTATTATAAGTGCCTGATAATATAAAATAAAATATTATATAATTATAATTACACTTATGTATTGTAGTATGTTTATGGTAATAAGTATTATTATTATTATTATTTTAAATGTGGTTGGCCCTAAATACCCCTGAGGGACTAAAAGAGTTTAGAGAGATTACACATTCCTTTAGAACCATTGTGTAAACTGAGAAAGAAAATACTGTCATTTAAAGTCCAAACTGAGGCACCTGGGTGGCTCAGTTGGTTAAGCATCCAACTTTGGCTCAGATCATGATCTCCCGGTCTGTGGGTTCAAGTCCCGTGTCATGCTCCGTGCTGCCAGCTCAGAGCCTGGATCCTGCTTCAGATGCTGTGTCTTCCTCTCTCTCAGTAGGTCTCTCTCTCTCAAAAATAAACATTAAAAAAAATGTTAAACCCAAACTGACTATAGATGCTGCCTTTTAAAGGAGATGATGTAATTTATATAGCAAAGGAAACATTCCTCACACTGCCTCCTTCCCCTCACAGAGTTGAAATAAGGGAGAGGTGGCCATTGTAAGCCTCTGTCAGTTCTTCTGAGTCTCAGGATGGGAACTAAAACAGAAGATCCATAATTCAGAAGGACACATCAGTGGATCCTTGGCTATAATACAATAAGGAAAATCAAATTATAAAAGGGAAGCCCCACGGTCAGGAAAATGAGAAGTCTTTAACGGAAGAGAAAAGACCAA